TACACAGTCTACAAACTAAAACTACTAGTATAGTATAGCATAAGATAGGATAGGATAGTGCACTATATCAAAGCAATCATATTAAAGCAATTGTATCAAAGCTAGCAAAACCCCGAATTATTAAGTAGAGATGATATAACTCACCCATACAAGGCTTAGGGCAAATCTTGTTCACTTACTCTTGAGGAGTAATTTTGAGGAGTGTCCCCATCCAAAGGAGCAATCTCCAAGAAGGGATATGTTAGGAGAACCTGTCATTTGGAAGTGGGACTGGACTTCTGTGGTGCAAAGTAATTGACTGCCAGTCATTTGTCTCCAGGTTGCCTAGGARCTTACCTGCCAAATCTTTACCTTACTGTCAGGATATTAATTTGGGGTTGATGTGTAATGCTGGTTTCAGCTTAATTCAACACCAAAAGCAGCACATGAGCCCCTCTCAGTCCAGCACTGACAGCCTTGTAAACAGGCATTGTCCAAGTTGTTTGACCACATTCCAGGGTGCACCATCCTGCTCCAAGCATCCTTTATCAGGATGAGAGGATCCCGTACACCCTCAGACAATTCAAAAGCACCACCAAATTGGATGGGAGAATTAATCTGCTGGAGGGCAGGAAGGCTCTGCAGAGGGATCTGGACAGGCTGGATAGATGGGCTGACCTTCAACAAGGTGACATGCTGGATCCTACATCTGGGTCACAAACCCATGCAGTGCTAGAGGCTGGGAGAAGAGTGGCTGCGATGCTGGTCAACACCAGCTGAACCTGAGCCCAGGAGTGTCTAGGTGGCCAAGGTGGCCAATGACACCTGGCTTGTATCAAAAATARTGTTGCTGGACCAGGGCAGTGACTGCCCTTCTGTGCTGGGCACTGGTGAGGCCACACMTTGAGGGCTGTGTCRAGTTCTGGCCCTTCACTGCAAGAGACATTTTGGTGCTGGAGCATGTCCAGAGAAGGGCAGCAGAACTGGGGAAGGATCGAAAGAGTAAGTTCTGTAAGGAGCAGCTGAGAGAACTGTAGGTGCTCGGCCTGGAGAAACAGAGGCTCAGGGAGGACCTTCTGGCTGTCCACTGATGGGAGKGTGCAGTCAGGGGGGTCGGGCTSTGCTCCCAGGGAACAAGGGACAGGACAAGAGGAAATAACCTCAAGCTGTGCCAGGRGAGGTTCAGGCTGGACATCAGGAGGAATTACTTCACCRAAAGGATGGCAGACATTGGAAGGGACTGCCCAGAGAAGTGGTGGAGTCCCCTGGAGGTGTGGAAGGAACTGGACTTGGCACTGAGTGGTCGGGTCTGGTTGACAAGGTAGTKTTTGGTAAAAGGTTGGATCTTGGAGGTCTTTTCCAATTTTAATGATTTTGGGATTCTATACTCTCTGTTCACACAGATCACAGCCTTCATGAGGTCGACTTCTCCAAAAACTAAAGCTATGCAGTTTCAAAAAGGGTTGAATCCCTAATTCATTCTGAAAATGTTGGTGGTTACAAGTCATGTATTAACTGCCAAAATACACAAAATGTGTCTAACTGGATTGTTTTCTAGTGGCTCCTCTTCTTTTCCTCAGTGCTAAAAGCATGATGATAGCAATCCCAAAGAGYAGAGTTCTGCAGCTTACTCACTGTATAGCTACATCAAAGCCATCAAATAGTTTTCTCCCCATTTGGTATCTTATCACCCCAGGAGTTCAACATCATAAAAATACCTACTTCCACATGCAAGTTTAGTTTGAATGGAGGTTCTAAGGAGTTTCTATGGCTGCTTTTCTATATTTCTATAGCTTTTCTATTAAAAAAAAAGTATTTGCAGTAATTGTAAAAAAGCTACATCTTYTTCCTAGTGAATGTGTGGAATAAAATTTTTCTTTATTGAAGCTTTCTCTGGCAAATGTGTTTTTAAAATTGTTTTTTTTGAAACACCTTCTGCAACCTGKACATTTGGATGTGCTAACACAGTATTGTTTATTCTGGCTAATTACAAGGAAACTCCGGTTCATGCTTCTGTACTGTCCCCAGTATACTGCTAAAATGCAAGGTACAAGAATTAATTTTCAATTACTTTTTGGTGTGTTGTGATTCTACAKCCTTTTGACTGCATTATGTTAGATTATTGTAAGCTAAGATTATTTTCATACCAAAACTTGAGAAGTGCTTGGGTTTCTGCTCGGAATTGCATGGTGATTAAAACTGYGTGGCTAGTGGGGAGAACTAATGGGTATTAAACAGTCTTCAGAASACGTGCACAAGTGTTCTGCATATACACGTGTATGCAAAATGCTTATTACCACAGTGAATGGTAAAAGGCAAAAAGTCACAGATCCATCTTGTGTTTTTTTCCCACTTTTGATCTTGAGATCACAATTAATCATTAATTGACAGTAGATGGGCATAGATCGGACAAGTCCTATCCTAACTTGTCCACTTTGCTTTTAACTTGTAGCACCTTTCCTGCCTTTCTGCTGAGTCCCACAGCACAGCAAGAGTATGACAGTGAAGAGGAATTGCTGTGCACAAGGCAGCACCGTGTTTGAATTGGGATTTTAATACAGTTACAAAAGGAGAATGTAAGGAAGGCAGTTGTGCCTAATAGCTGAATTGTAATAATGTCTTGCCTCATCACTTCTCACAAATTCTTGGTGGCTGTACTCAAGAACTGCTGATCACTCTATTCTTTAACCTGCATTTCACACTATGATGAGACAAATCTTTGTCTTCAGACCTGTCTGCCTGATAGCTCATTATTTAAGGTATTTTTCTTGTTCCTCTGATAAAGTGAGTTTCAGAAACACTGCTCCTTGTAACATCTGGTTATCCAAAAAGCTATTAAACTCCCTTTAAGTGCACTTCCGAGAATTATCCTCTGGTTTTGATATTCTGRAACTGAAAAGATTAACTGCCAAAATACACAAAATGTGTCTAACTGGATTGTTTTCTAGTGGCTCCTCTTCTTTTCCTCAGTGCTAAAAGACTACTTTCTTCTTATTTTTAACTATTTCTCAAATGCAAAAGTGATGGAGATACCTCCCTTAAGTTTTTAGCTAGCTTTTGAGACACTGGATTTTGGTTTGGTTTGGTAGTGGTATTGCCCRCAAGGCTCCCAAAATTACCAACTTTGCTAGTAATTGTAGCAGGATTTTTCTGTTGGTTTTTTTTTTCTTTACCTTCAAATATAGCATGTTTTAACAAAAACTATAACTTGTTTTTTTTTTAAATATTTATAAGTGTAATGCTAGTCTTTTAATGTTTTTTCTAGTCATAAAATCAATGCTCAGCAATAACCATTTTGTGTTCTTTCTGTGCATAGAAACATACTAAAACCAAGCATTTAGTGCAAGATGAAAAACCACACAGGGCATAAGACTTATGTTTCATGTAAAAGAGATCTACAGGAAAACCAATTCTTTTCCCTGTTAACAAAAGAGAGAATCAATTTCTTTTCTGCCAGAGGGAATTGGAGGAAAGCACCTGTCTAATTATCAATATTTTTGTACAACACTTAGCACACTTGCAAACGTGTTTACTTTTGCTGAACTGAAACCATTCCAGTATTTTACTGTCCAAATATGTCAAAKGGGTGATATGTTCATAGGTATTTAAAATATTCTATAACAGGACTTTTTGCTATGCCAAAAAAGTGGTCTTGAGCCGCAAAAAGACTTGTTCATCCATGGGACGTAATTTTTTCKCAGTTCCCTTCCAGTGGAAACTGAGTATGGAGAATCACCCAGGGATCAGATTAAATGTTACCTCATTTAAAGTTAAACATCATATTTTAATGATACACAAATGACAAAGCAAKTGTAGCATTTCTGAATGTAGTCTTAAGAGTGTCAATGTCAAGGGGCTGCCCTTTGAACCATGTATTAAAACCTACTCTAAAATGAGAGCTGTGCAAGTGGGCAGCAGGTGTGGCAAAACCAGATTGCTAAGATGTTCCCAGATCACTTCAGTGGAAGAACAGTAAAGCCAATATTGATAGTTTTGACAATCTTGCTTCTGTTTGTAAYGAATTACCAATACAACAGTTTCTCATTGTGAAGCTACTTATTTTTACAAACTCTTGAAACATATTCAACAGGGCAAAAAAAATGAGGACAATATTGCAAATTCTGAGATTGTATTTGCATATTCAGAGATGCTTATATTAAAAAGTATTACAAGAGAGGCTTCATTTTCCAAACCTGCCTTCAAAAACGTGAAAAGCTGCGGGTATAGACAGGTGCTCTTCCAGGGTCTGCACACCTACAAATTGGAGCTTGTGTGGAAATGGGAGGAGTGTGTATACCTGTCTAACTTACCTGAAGAGGTATTTCAGATTTGACATTTCAAATTAGKTTTTTTTCTAATTCAAGGAAGACAGGAGACAGAACTGGGTTAGCAATACACCACCCCGATGACAATTTCACATATTAATTTAGTTATTTAAGATTGTGCTTAAAAATAAGTTTCTGGTTGTTACTTGGAGGCATGGAGTCCAAAAATAATCAAGTTGAAAACACCAGGAGAAATAAAGGATTTGAAGGCGTAACTCTGGTTAAGTCTCTGGGCAGAGACCAAAACATATTGCTGCTCTTAGAGAGCAGTTCTGTTAATCAGTGTCTTAAATGACTCTGGCATATAAAGTTGTATCTTGATAAGCTGCTAAGGTTGTTGCACTCATTTTATTCCTGTTAAAGGGAAGTAATTAAAGTACATCTTAAAATCCTGCTAGCATATGTATTATTTAACTCYCCTGGTGATTTCCCATAATCAGGGTAGTATCTGAGTGCACTGAGATTTGGTCAGTGCTTTGAACATCTGTAGATTCTTTAACTTTGCACTATACTGCAGAACGTGGCTTTGAAAGCTGTACGTGTACCTCTCCCTGAACATCATGGTGCCATAGGAGCTGCTCTCCCCACCCTTTCCTGAATAAAGCCATTCTGCTGAGTCACGGCCTTACCCTGAAGGAAAATGCTGCAGGAACCTTTCTAGACACCAACATTATGTATTTCTTTTAGTATGTAAACTTGGTTTTGAAACTTGGTTTTCTGCTCTTTTTGTTAACTTTGATCAAAGCCAATGAAATTCTTCATAATTTCTAATACTACACAACTATGATATTTACAAATGTTTTGTCTTGTTACAGTTTTCTGGTACCAGAACAAAAATGAAACAAAACCAAAAAGCTGATCCAGCAAGTTACATGTAAATCCAAAATAAAGTCACATGATAGTAATACATACTACTAAAAAGATGTGCAATATCGTGAAAAATAAACAATTCCGAAAGCTAAGACAAATACACATCAATAATCTAAAGGCATAAACAATAATCACTGCTTCACAGAATACTTTGGAAAAAAGTGGCTTTTGAAACCACTGAATCTGAAGCAGGATGAACAAAACAATCTGGAGGAGAGCTGCATCCTGTGCTGGCAGCTCAACCCCTTGGCATGGTAGCTTCCCAACACCTACAGGGCTTCTGCAAATCTATGCAATGGATAGTTGTGCATTCAGGCACCAGCAGCTGTCATGAGGATGCTTCAGYCTGGCCTGCTTCAGAGTCAAATCTGTCCTTGAGATGGTAAGATTTCTGACACATGATCTAGTATAAGGACAGCCTTGCATCTTAGAAAGTCAAGATGCTACATCATGAGAAAAAGTACAAGCCAAATGTTTTTTTGCTTGGATCATACCGATCTGGTGTTTTAGGGAGAATTTACTGAAACTTGTCCTTTTAATCTTAATAAGCACTGTCTTGCTGTTCACTTGTTTTGTGGCAAGATGTGTGTCTGGGCTAAACCCCAAGCTTACCAGCTGCTTGTCCTGTTAACTAGTTACTTGTTAACTTAAAGCTGTATCACATTTTGTCTTAAGAAGGAATAGCCTTCCCTTCAAATATCAAAGTAATATTTTGGGCTAGATTTACCCTATTCATAGTACAAGCATAGAATATGCTGTTGGCATTTTCATGACCTTAAAAATACAGCAATATTGAAGAGTGTAAACATTCCATTTCATCTTGTGTTGCTGAAAAAGTTAAATTCAGGCACCAAGTTCTCCTTCTTGATGAGATGACGATTCTTATCACTGAGATTCTTGCTGAATTTCATTTTTAGTAGGGGATGAAGTTTTCACATCACAATAGCTAAAGTCATGTCCATAAGCGAGGTGCTTCTGAGAGCTTTCATCTAAGTGTGGTTCATGAACTATGACAGCATGCCACATGTTGTTCTCCTTCAGGGATTTRTGTAAGAGTTCTCTCATTCTCCTGTTTTCTTTGGCTGTGGATTCCCACATGATTTCAAGTTCCCCTTCTGTTTTTCTAGGAAAAAATAAAGAGAAATCTTTAACAATGTTTCAGCAGTACAGAATTACAGYATGTGCATAAGCAAATTAGAAATGKCCTGTATTTAGGTGCTTGAAATTATCTGATTGAAACCCATTCCTATTTTGTTTCTGAAAAAGCTCATTAATTAAAAGCTAATAATGAGTGATGTTAAATAGGATATGACCAGAAAATTACCCAAGCAAAATTACCCATTATTGAAGCCATGTAATAAGTTGGATTAAGTCTGCACAGAGTGGTGCATGTGAGACCCAAATACCATGACTACCTGTCTACTGACACAGGTTCCCTATGACCACAGCTCTGCTTCCCAGGTAACACTGCCCCTTCAGCCCAGAGCACTGCGYTCTCCATTCCGAGGCCCAAAGGGTCTGATCAGAGTGTGAGACTCTGTGCTCAGCGAATGCGGCTTTGTGGGAGCCAACCAGAAGTGATATAAACTTACAAGGTAGACAAAGCCCAAGAACCTGGGTTTCATTTGACTCCTAGCGTATGTCAAAATACAAAATAATAAGGAAGAGAAGATCAATTGATGTGGAAAGTGTAGCTGCTGCATGGAAAATGAGCACATGTATTTTAATACTATAGACTAATACAGTCCCCTTGAGGGCACTGCCTGAAGCACTGATAGAGCTAGCCTATACAAATTCTCCCCAATACCAGGCTCTAAAAATGAGAAACAAATCAATGCAGACCATAAATGTGTTGAGATTAAATGCTGTCAGTCTACATTGCAGGCAAAAGTTATACACTAGAAAATACAGAATCCTTTGTTAGTGGTAACACTGAGAACAAAGTGATGAAAAGTGGCCCCAACATAGTACCACCCCACTTCATGTTTCACCTTATGACTGGATATATAGATGGAAGATAAAAAAACCTTATGGAGAAAGGTTTAAGATTATTCTTGTATGTACTGCTTGGAATGAACTTTTGGTAGTGGAGATTGAGAACGGAATTAAAGCAAAAGATGGCAGGTGAAAGMAGTACAGTTGGCTAAGAGTCCAAGACTGCCCAAGAACCATGCACTGCACTCTTATGTTTGACAATTAATAGACAAGTGCTTAATCTGGTTTACCATTATTGTAGTACAGATACTAGTGCAGTACCCAGACTTTATTTAATCTGCTAATTTCTGAAAACCAGGCTTCTGGGTTTTTTAAGATTGTTTYATTACTAATGCTTACATGAGCCTGGGGCATAGAAAATTTGAAGCAAGATTATGAAACTAAAGATCAGTTTGTTCTGAATTATACTTTAATGCTGTCAGCATGCCTGATAAATAAAATGGCCATTTTCAGTCCACATGTTCAGTTTAATGGCAATTGATTTGATTTTAGAAAAAAAAATAGTTCAAGGAGAGTAGTTTGTAAGTATCCTCATGGTTAAAATTACTTCTGTAGCAAGAAAACAGATGCCTTTAGAGGTAGCAGTGTACTTGAACTCTTCTTGGAAGACTAAATTTTAAACAGAGCTGAGAGATGCAGAGCAAGAAAGTGCTAACTGACTTGGCTTTGGAATGAGCAGCCAGAAGTGTATTGTTGTCAAGAAAGAGCAGTGCAGTTGCCCCTGCTGCACACACAGCACACTACCATCCCAGGCAAGGTTTTTCAGTGTGGCACAATGTACTGCTTCATAGTTCAGCTGCTTTCCAGGTAAGGATYGGAGAAGAGGCAGATGCATCCCAAGTGACCTGACTGAAATTTAAAAATGCATTCAGCAGAATGGGCTGGGGAGAGGGTGTCTTTATTCCTGCTAGTCACAGAACCTCCCTTCTCCTAAGGAATTTGGATTACAGAGCAGCTTGGTTACTACAGCTGCTGATGGTGTGTACATTTTTCTCAATGTCAAAATTTCCTTGCCTCTACAGCTGTTTTGCCTGTTAAAACACAAGTCTTTGCCACTTGGCATTTGACACTAGATACRTGCTCAGTTAAATACATATGCTGTTGCCAGATGTCTCTAGACGAAYGGCATTAAGTTTACTTATTAATGTAGGCTGTTATTACTTAAATAGCTAAAACCAGAAATTCCATTCAACCCCTAATCGAGCMAAATGTAAGATTTTATATCTTACTGAGAGTAAGCTAAATGCAGGTGTCCCACTGATGTTTGAGGACRAAAAAATAAATGGTAGGATCTGAAAGCAGATTCTTCTTTATAAAAGACAGATTTCTGCACTCACTGAACTAAATTAATTCAGACAATCTCAGAATCTTATGTGGGCTGGCTCAAGAACCAATTTTCACCCATGCTCTAACAGTTTATTTAAATATTCTTTACCACAAAGATCAACGGTTTTTATCATGGTTACAATTTCGTATGTCACCTCACAGGTAAGATACCTCCTCTTCCATGCTTATGCTTTACTGTGAAGCTTCCTGCCGTTGACCCTCTTCCAAGCACAGTTTAAGGCACTTTCAAACCTGCATTCTGCATCCATARCATAGCAGCTGTAACTACCTTGAAATACTGTTTCTCTGCAGAAGTCTTACAAAATAAACTCTGACCTACAAAACTCATAAAGGTAAGAGTCCTGTCAAGTAAGACTGGGAAACAAACCTGGTTTTTAACCCTAGGATCACAAAATGAACTTTGTTTATATCTCAAACATCTTATTTAAGGAAAGGTATGAGATATTAAGCTTACTCAATGACTAATAAAGATGTCAGCTGCCTGCTTCTCACCAGTTGCTTTAGTTGAAAGGTTGCTGTGAATCTGCAATATTGTCTAGCAAGGGAGGTAATTACTGAGAAGGCTCTACCGAGCAGCTTCCAAGAAGGTAAATCTGCATATCTTTAGATGCCATAACAGCTTTTATTTATCAAAAGTACCACTATATCTATACGTGCTTCTTTTTGAAAACCAAGTACAAAAATGCTCATCCCTTGGATACAATGRGTAGTGCAACTCCTGATTTTTGTCATAAGGGGAATGAATGCAGGAGGGGAGAAAATTTAAAAGGCAGTCATTTCTCTTTATGTTTGATGAAAGCCCATGCTACTCTGGATGCAGATTTGTTAAAAACAGAATTATAAGAGAAGCAGCACATGAATGTTGCTACTTGTTTACACGTCATTACCTTTGACCATGCTGTGATTACAGCAACTCTGCTTCAGGGCTGTGCAATGTGCTGTGACCTATCACCACTCAGGTGTGCTGTGCTCCTATTCAGATTAAGAAGGTGGGGCTGCTTATCTCTGTGCAGGGTCTCACAGAAAGAATGGTACTGTTTCGGGATCTGAAATGGGTTCTTCCTTTGCTTCACAAGCAAACTGGGCAGCAACAGCAGGTACGGTAAGCTTTTATGATACAGAATTTCATGGTGGTAGCTAAGTCAGACGTGCCCCAATTTCCTAACTCCCTATTATGAAACTAAATGCAAGAGCAAAATGAATTACATGAARAAGTTTTCTGTCTTCAGCTGCTTACAGTGATTCATCATACCTTCAGCTAGAYTTTAAAGTAAACTGGCTTTCCTGCTTAAAATGTGGCATGCTACTYTGACTTTCAATATCTAACAGTGATATTAGAGAATAAAATACRTTATGTATTTATTGCATACACTTATCTTAATGTCTATGTAGGCATTTTGCATAGAAACATTATCAGCTAGACAGTATTCTGGTCTAAAAATTTACTCTGTAAACACAGCTAGTCACAATAAATCTAAATGTTTGGTACTTTCCTAGCACTAGTGACTTTGGTCACCAAGCTACAGGTGATGAGCAATATCTGAACTACAAATAATTTCCCCTTCCCTACTCCTGTGACTGTGTGAARGGAAGAGAGAGAGAAAATAATAAGCCTTGTAAAATCAGAAATACAGAAAGCATCCAAAATACATGTTTAATTTCTGACATATAGGCATAAAAGTGTAGATATATATTTGGATTACCTTGGGAAATGACTTTAGTAGTTTCAAGCAGTACTTGAGAAGAATAATGAAATATGAAGAATTTTATCAGCCGTAGTGTTAGTTGGTTTAATTGATTTTGTTTTATAAGCACAATAATTGTTTCTTATATAGGTGTAGAATTCAGATGACTTTTCAGTAACAATTTTTTTAATCTACATTTTTTATATAGTTATCAAAAGAAAATAGTGAATCATGAGGTTATCTAAAATACTACTTGAAAGATGACTGTAAAAATTATTTTTTACTTTTAGAGTTGTGTTCATTTCATTATATTCTGATAATCATTGTTATGATTTAACTATCATCAGAAAAAAAAGCAGTCACCAGTTACACCATTCATTAATGTCAAAGACTACAGAAATGGAAGTTGTTCTGATGGGGTTCATGTTGGGTTTGTTTCCRTAAATGACTTTTCTTCATCATCATACAATTAAGTGGACTACAGTGGTGTAGTTCCAGGTTTACATCTTGTTTCGTAGAAATTAGCTGCAAGTATTAATTGTGTGTGCTTAATGAAGAAAAAGAAAATTAATTTAGACTGCAAAGAAAAAAGTGGTTTAGTACACTGTATGGGAAGTGTAATCAATTATTTTACACGTCTGTGTTATGTCATCTAGTTTACCTACTGTGGGGCTAGAAGGGTARATTTTGAATGACCCATATTATAGGACTTCAAACTGTGCTCTATCCTATGTTGAAAAAAATCCCCTCTTTATTTAACTGCTGTTCTGTACAAGCAAAGTATTGTAAAATGAGCCCAGAGATATGAAAGACACTTRATTAGTTAAAAATCCTAAATAACTGTTTCCAGAGAAATGTGTTTCAGTTCAATCTGGTTTTTAATGCAAATTTTGCAGATTAATGGAATGTTCAATGTACAACTCTGCTACTTACACCTGTTAAATTRCACTGCTTAAAGTAACTGAGAGGAACTGTGCTGATCTAAGGTAGATGATACCAAGCCCTGTTTCTCTATTGTCTGTTAAAATCTATTTAAATCTATTCTTTCACAATGGCAATGATAACTTGAGAAATGACTGCTTATTACTTTTTTGTACTAAACAGCTTTTCCTTTATGCTGATAATGTCAATGTACTTTGAAGCTTTCCACTACCAGAGAGGAYAAGTACCTTTAAAGCACTCTATATTTAAAGAATATTTCAACGCTGCAGTTATAATCTATAAATCTGTTTAATTATATTCTCTTTATTTTGCACATACTCAATCTAAGTCACTTAATAGATCACTAAGATAGATCTTTTATGTACTCATGAGATTCCTTTCATTTCCTACTATTCTGAAAACTGTTGAGGGGTGTGAATGGGAAAGTGTTCAGCCTTTAGCAGAAGGTGCTATTAAATAAATTAACATGTATCTTGATTTATAGAATCTTCTCAAATAATCAAAGATTAGCTCAGATTGATACCCCTCTTAAGAAGTCTTAAGAACAGCAGTAGTCACCTATAACAAATTCCTCCTTCAAAAGATCTTTCCTGGAGCTGGGAATTATGAGCAGGGTTTCAGCATTTTCAATATAGCTAAAATGAGTGAGAAAAGCAACCTGGAACATACCACAGGAGACTCAATTGGAAAGCACGTGCTAGCGGCTGTGTGCAGATGCTTTTCCTCACCCCTTTACCTACTGGACCTGCCTGGATTGCTTCTGGGTGTGCCCCACTCACCTGTTTTGCTCCAGCATTTCATTGAGGGTTTCCTGTTTGTCTTGCAGCAGACGCTGCAGGTGCTCCTTTTCTTGCTCATACTGAGAAGTCTTCCCAGCAAATATTTTCTCCTGCTCAGTCATCTTGAGACTGATATCTCCAAGCTTCCCAGCTGCTTTCTTTGTATATACCTGTAAGGATTAAAGAGAATAGTAAAAATAGTATTATATGAGAAATAAGGACAAGTCACTACCAACAAAAGAAACTGCTAGAGATATGGACCTGATTTTCAGTTTAATCTTTACATCAATGCTGCCTTGCTTAAGTATGTCAGATAAGTTGCATTATAGGATTTTTTTAAACCAATTTGTTAATTTGAAAGTATTACAATTAATTTTGTTCTGCATAAAAAACTAGTGTGTACAATGAATATCGTACCATGTGTTTGTTTTATAGTGAACAGAACTAGCTGCAAAAAAAGGTTTGTTTTCCAAGATGCAAAGCTGCACTTTACAGCACATGTTGCTTACCACTTGTTGAACACTCATCAATACATACCAAGAAAAAATGTTTCTGTCTTGTCACTTGTTTTATCTTAATACTAAGAGGAAGAAAACAATAGCTTTGCTTGCTGCTTCACATGATAGTCCTTCTGTTCAGTAAAGCACAAGTGATTTTTTGTTTGACGACTATAATAACTAAATGATAACTCATGATTGGTCTCATCTCAAAAATAAGAAATAATTTTTGTACAAATTAACTTTGCTTTCTGAAAAAACATCCCCATTAAATTGCATAAGCACGAAAGAAACTGAGAACTATGGTTTGTGTATTGTTACACATTTCTAGATGCTGCTGCTCTTGACAATATCAAAATCCAGTGGTAACTTTTTTTTTTCTCATAATTGCAAACAGAATGCTAAAACTGTTATCTTCTCTGCAGACTGTGATGTTTCCTACAGTGTATAGGACAGAGTTTTGGGATGGAAACATCTTCTTTAATAAAACTGTAAACTAATTTAGTGAAGCTTTGAAAACACTGCCATCACCATTGCTACTACTAAGTTTTATCTCAGGTGCTAATCATTAAGGTTTTATCTTCATCTGAATCAGGGGAGAAAGGTTTGAGTTCGCCTTTTGGAGGAATTTTTTTAAAAGACATTTTTAGGCATGTACTATAAATAATGCTATATAATCCTTTCCACAAACTCTTTCCTTTTTAGCTCTTGCAAAATGTGTTATTGTGGGTGTTAATTTTCTAGAGGTAATATAGATAATAGATAGTAATACATATAACAGATAATAATATTTACCTTGAACATTAGTAATTCAATATTTAAGGCTGCCTTACATAGGGTTTTTATCCTAGCTGTTCCCTGACAGTTCTAATGGAAGCCTGCTACTTAACAAGTCCCATCACTCAACCTTTTAGATTCCAGAGAAGTCTTCAAAACACAGTTAATGCTGTGGAAGACTGAAGGTAAACAAGTTCCTTCTGAACAGAAGGTTGCTCAGRGCCAGCCTAGAGGAAGTGCAGAGTATAGGGAAACAGCTGAACTTTCCCCTCTGTCAGTAAAAGCTCCTGCATTAGTCAGGTCCAGCGTGGGTGCATGACCTGAAATGCCTGCTCTAGGTCAAATGTCAATAATAATTTCAAAGAACTACAGAAAACTTCCTCTCTTTATCATGGAAAAAGCTGGTGAAGTGTAGCATTGATGAAACTCCATTTTTCATCAGGTGGTCACTGACCAACTACAGGGAGGTCTGTGTTTTAAGCTGAGGTTTGCATTTTAAGCTGCACTCTACCCAAAATACTTCAGGCCTCTATCTCCTCCAAATCTCACAGCTGCCTCTGTTGGCTCTGCACTCCCTGCTCTACCTTTGCCAACTGAAGCTGAGTCCCATGTGCAGACTGGTTGCAGAATCAGTGGAGCACAAAGGGCAAAAGTGCAACTTTTTCTTCTGGCCATATGATTTCAGTCTGAAACTAGATATGAGTGATCCACAGTTCTGATCTTGCCTCTATGGAAGAATTATAATTAAATCTGTGTAAAATGCAGCCTGGGCAGATCCAGGATGATTCTGGGCACACTGACACATGCAGCTATACTGCCACTTGCAGATCCTTCACAGGCTACTATCTTTGAATTGTTCCAGATAACCTATTAATGTTCTCTGAAGTGAAACAGGCAGCAGTAAACAGAGTAGTGAAGATGACAGTTTTCAGGAAGAGGATGTTAACACATAGCTAGAAATCCCAGTATTTTCCTCTAGAGCTGGACAGGGTATGCCATGACCAAAGTCAYGGCATCCCATGCACAGAGTAAGCAACATGAGGAATGATCATGGATGCAGATGCTGGTACTGAAGAAGACACGATTTACACTCTTCTAAAGTTGTTTCAGAAAGATATACTCTTCATCACCACAGTTCTGTTACACCTTGTGTACTGAATTGCAAACCTTGCTTTATTAATGAACACCATGAACAGAAAACACTTKGCAAACTAATCCAGCATTGTGAAACAGATTTAAAGTTGGAATTATCATTAAAATTAATAGCTTAATGGAGAAATCACTCTATACGGGATATTTCCTTACTCTTATCTTACTCTGTTCTTTAACCAATTCTTAGCTTATTTTATTTCTTTATCCCATGTATCACTAATTTATTTTTATCTTAATTCTCTTCTCCTACCCTAAAGAGGGGTATAATGAAGTATTCTATTCCCACACAGTACAAAACTTGCATAAACACAGGAGAAGCCTTGAGTTTCCTTTAATCTTTCCCCAGTTTTTGAAGTTGTATGTTGAACTTGTAAAATTTTAAAATTTTCTATAACCAGGAAGGCTAGAAACGTCTAAGGAAAGTAGGATTTTCCCTGGTAATTGCAATCTTTTGAGAGCTGAGGAATGAYTGGGCAAAGCAAAATCCATTTTCTGAGCAACAACAAAGCAAGTAACTTGATTTTATGAATTTTATGAAACAGAGTACTACTATAATAGTAGGAGAGATGAATAACTCACTGGTGTTATAGCATCACATTTAGAAAATACTTGGTTTTTGTTACATTTCAGGTTTATTGTAAAAAGTTCAAAAGCCTTAATAAACTTTTAAAAAGTACTTAAGTGTGCTAATGCTGAATGTTTACTCACAATTCCACTGTTTCTAGCAGAGATTTTCTAGTCTGCTCTTCTTCCTTAAACKCTAGTAACAAAAAAACATACTAAACCTGATAAATGCAGTTTCTTCTGCCTCAAGGAGATACAAGTAGATCTCAGACGTGATTTGGCAAAAAATCCATTAAAAATACATAAATTGAGTTATCTGCCATCATGCGCAATCTCTTATTTTTGAGATGGCATGTTGATCGCAGCAACCAAATCCAATTTCTTCAGTTCTTTTTATACAACTGAAGGGTTGTTTAAAAAGAYAAAACAAAACAGAAAGCCCCCACCAATAACCCAAACACACACACAAATACAATTCCCTTCCTGCTTTTAGTTTGTTGTTGTGATAGGTTAAAGCCTCAAATTTATCACTTAGGCATATAATAACTAATTTGAAATTTTCTACACAGAAGGTGATTCCAATAGGTGGCAGGATGGTAGGAAAAAAATTAAGGCCGAATTAGTAAAGTTGCATGAAAATGAGGGCAGTTACAGTAGGCGAGGCTAGATGGTAGATATCTTCAGTACAAAGGTTGTTTTCAGTTTTTATTAAAACCTCATGACTAACAAAATTATTATCAAATAGAGATTCAGAATCAATGAACTTGTTGCAATCTAWATTCTTTCAAGTGTGTGCATAATTTAAAGGTGAATTACACTGGTTCAGTGAGGGAAAGTAAAAGGTGTCTAATGATGAACTGGAGTGCAAATTCTGTTAACAGAGATTTACTGTTCACAGTTCTAAGTCCAAAACCCTGGACTGTTTTCACAGAATTTGTACTATATGTTTGACTAAAATACTTCATAAAAAAAGATGGACTTTTCCTATATTAGCTGTCCCTTTTGCACGAAGTTGAAGGACTCCCTGACAAGATAAACATTATGTCCAAGCTCATATTAAGAGAAAACAGTGTGGAATTCTGWAAGAAGTAGCATTAATACCAGAAAAATTTGCCCCCTCAAATTCTTGCCATGGATCATCAAACGGCTTGGTAATTACAATTACAGAAGTACAAAGAGACTGCCCAGGGAACCCCAGTGAAAGTACTACCTCAGCTTATCATGCTGACCATGGCACTGAGTTAGTATCAGTTCACAGAATCACAAAATTAAAGAGGTTGGAAAAGACCTTTGAGATCATGAAGTCCAACCTATGACCTAACACCTCCTTCTCAACTAAACCATGGCATTAAGTGCCATATCCAGTCTTCTCTTAACTCCCTCCAAGGATGGTGACTCCACAACCCCCCTGGGCAGCCCATTCCAACCCCCGACCACTGTTCCTGTGAAGAATTTCTTCCTAATATCCAGCTTAAGCCTCCCATGGCACAGTTTAAGGCTGCGTCCTCCTGTCCCGTAACTGACTGCCTGGGAGAAGAGACCAACCCCCACCTAGCTAAAACCTCCCGTCAGTGAGGTGCAGAGAGTGATGAGGTCTTCCCTGAGCCTCCTTTCTTGCAGGATAAACACCCCAGATTCCTCAGCCACTCTTCATCGGGCTAGTGTTYCAGTCCCTTCACCAGCCTTGCTGCCCTTTGAGTATCTCTGAACGTCCTTCCTAAATTGAGAGGCCCAGAACTGGGCACAGCACTCAAGGTGTGGCTCAACCAGTGCTGAGTACTGGGGAAGAATGACTTCCCTCTTCCTGCTGGCCACAGTATTCCAGATACATGCCAGGTGCCATTAGCCTTCTTGGCCACATGGGTGCACTGCTGGCTCTTGATCAGTCAGCTGTCAACCAGYACCCCCAGGTTCCTTTCTGCCTGGCCACTGTCCAGCCACTAYATGCCCTTGAAAATTCAATAAATATGGAGGTTGTCATTGCCCCTACGTTTGCCAGTAATGAATTTATAAAAATATTTTTTATTATACTTCACAAAAGTGGCCAAATTAAGTTCTGATTAGGATTTTGCCTAATTTTTTTCCCATATGACATAGCAATATCCTTAAACATTTYCTAGTTACCTGCTTCTCTTTCCAAAGGCGATACACCCTTTTTTCCCTTTAGTTCCTTCAAAAGC